TTTTTTGTCTTTGTTCAAAGTAAAGCGATTTTACCCATGGAACAAGGGGTTTAAACTCTCCATCTGACTTCTGTTCATTCACAAAACTCTTGATGTATAGAATATAATTACATTTTAGAGAAGTCATTTTGTCTCTAAAAAGAACTGAGCTTAGTAATATTTGTGACATTTTAATATCAACATGTTTTGAAAGAGACTGGATGAGGTGAGGTTTTAATTCTCCCAAAAGAACATAAAGTGCTTAGACCACATTTCCATTAAAAAGTGGTGGGAAAAATCTCCTCAGACAAAATTCTGCCTCTGGGCCCTAAGTTTTCTTTCCAGAATATTCAAAGGGTGGAAGATCTGTGGAAATTGAAAAGTAAAGATGCATAGATAAATAAAACCTATGTGAGGACTACCTTGCTTTTTTCCAGATGACGAATCCTCTGAGAGAGATTGATAAAACTGTGGGCCAATTAATGGACGGACTGAAGCAACTCAAGCTGCATCGCTGTGTAAATGTCATCTTTGTTGGGGACCATGGTGAGGCTGCATGTTTCCTATGCTATTAAGATAGATACATTGATGCTTCTGATGGTGTAAGAAAAGGAACACATGCTCTCAGAATCCAAGGTTCTGCTCTTAACCTTTTCTTACTTTTCTTCCGGATAAGAAAATAAATTAGGTCATGATACAAAAGTACAAGACAATGTGAGGCGATCCGGGGTCTGTTTTCATAAAAGCCAGGGACTTCTATGTCTTCCTTTGTGAGAAAGGACTTTCTACTACATGACATGGGTTCACTTACAGACATGCAGGCAGTATACTCATACACATAAAATAAAAATAATAAATAAAAATTTAAAAAAGAAAGGACTTTCTACAAAAATCTGCTTCTAATTAAAATGTTGCAGACAATCATGTGCTATTAATGACTTCCTCTGGGAATCAGGCACATCATGTATTGGTCTCCTGCTTCTGTGAATGATACCTCCAAAAGGAGCCACAGAGCTTGGATGGTTAAAATAATAACAATTCTAAATACGTTAATGCAGAGACATGGCGGTCCTGTCAAAGATGTAATATGTAGGTCAAATGGTTTTCTGGAACCCACTGAGGGAGTTCAAGTTCCAAACCAGGGCCTGCTGCCAGCCAGAAGGCCATCACTGAGAGAAAGGAGCGCTCTAGGAAGTGGCTTTCCTCTCTTCTCTGCTCTCTCTTTCTTTTTCCTTAAGAAGATGTAGCTCAGGCTGACCTCAAACCTATGATTCTCCTGCCTCAGATTCTCAAGTATAGGGATTCTAGGGATACATTGCCATGCCCACGGGAAAGGGGTTTTCCCTAACACTTCTAAAAGTAGAAAAATTCATGAACATTTTTTGAGGCAATTGAGAGTGTCTCAATCATGATATAATTGTAGAGCTAAGGGGCTTCAGAAAATATTTTAATATATTTTATTCATCCTTTGAGAATATCATATAATATATTTTGATCATATTTATCCCCACTCTCTCCCTAAGTCCTCCCAGATCCATCCCCCACTTCACTTCCCAACTTCATGCTTTCTTTGTGTTTCCACCCTGGCTTAGTTTTATTATTATTATTATTATTATTATTATTATTATTGGAAAATCTACCAAGGTCAATTTGTGCTTTTCATGTCTTTTTGGGTGTGGGGCCATCCACAGGAGTATGGCCACACTCTTCAAAACCTGATTCTCTCTTCCCTCAAACCCATCGACTATCCAAAACTCTTCAGTTAAGGATGGCAGCTGGTGAGCCCCTTCACCCTCCACGCTGGAATGTCGGCTGGTGTGATCTTGTGCAGATCCTGTCTAGACAGCCACAGGTGCTGTGAGTTCCTGAGTATAGCAGTCCTGTCAGGTTCAGAAGATGCAGCTTTGCTCCTGTCCTCCTCCACCTCATTCTCACAGTCTTCCTGCCCCTCCCTTCTGTAGTGGTCCCTGACCCTTGGGGTATGATCGACATGTCTTCTTGTGGCTGAGTACTCCATAGACACTTAATTTCTGCATTTTGACTAGTTGTGATTTTTAAATGTTTATCATTGTCCACTAAACAAAGAAACTTCTGAATGAGGTCTGGGAGCTGTGCCAATCTATAGGTAGAGAGATATGAATTTAGAAGGCAGTTTGGTACTGTGTCTATTTAGCAAAATAATAGCAGTAGGTTCACTCGGGGTCTGTGAGCTCCCCAGCAATAGGTCCTTGGTCAGACTTACAGTACTAGGCATGCATTTTCTCCTGTAGAGTGGGCCTTGAGTCCAAGGAGCAAGTTGTTGGTTGCCCTCATGGTATTTCTGCTACAATTGCACCCATACACATTTGCTACCATCCTGGTCATTGTTGTAGTTCACAGCTGAGTAAGACTGTTGATAACTTTTTCTCCCCAGCAGCCTACATAGTACCTTCTAATCTATGAAAGCTAACCTACTGGGAGGAAGTATCCTGGTCAGCACCAACTTGGTTTTCAAAGTGCAGTCTTGCTTCACAGACATGCAAACTTAGTTCTAGAGATTGCTGTCTATATTCTGAAACTATCCAAATGAAATAATGATCTCGGAATTTGGGGCTGTTGTTCTAACAGAGTTTGAAAAATGAAAATTGGTTGACTTTTTGGCAGTTCCATTAAGAACAGCTGGTGAATCTCCCTGCTTATACCTCAGCCCCTGAAACTTTCTTTCCAGAGCATTCTAGATCTGAGAAACTGAGGTTAAAATCTGTGGAAGCAAATGTGCTTTGCTGAGGGAACTAAATGATACCTTCTGAAAAATTATTTGCTTAGTGGAAAGCTGCAGATGGGATGGGGAATTGGGAACATGAGACACAGCTGATTCGATTTAAACTGTGCAGAAGTGTGGAGAACATTTGCTCACATGTTGGAGGCAGACGTCTAAGAAGTGTGTGGTCACATTGAGTCACTCTTCGAAGCAGCAGATTGAAACTTTTTCTCAATGTGAGGATTGCTAAAATGAGTGGGTCCATTCAGTTCTGGAAGGCCAGGGCACCTTCTTTTCGAAAGGTAACCTGCCTCACGTTCAAGGCCTTAATATCAGAATGAATTTCAGTGGAGCTCTGATTATACCATGACACTTAAGAGCCTTTGATGCTGTATGTCTTATGCCTCTGCAAGTATGACCTCCCTCATCTGTGGAAGGAAAACACTGGCTCCACACATTCAAAGTTGATCTGGAGGGGAGGGGGGCAATACTAGAGAAACCCTGGGCACACTTGCCTGATGGTCTTTAAGAGCAAGGGTGATTGCTCGCCTCTAGAGTGTCAGGAGTGACTGCCTTGAAGTATAACAAATAGAAGATTCTTTCCATCTTTCATTCACGTGTAGTTGGAGGTTTTTGCCTTCCTGGCCTAACACTGTACTAAAATATAGTAGCTGTTTATTAATTTAACTTTTCATCCCGAGAATTTCCATGTTAAAAAGAAGATGTATAATGATCATGCTATGTCAGACTGGGTTTTTCTCTATTTTCATTCCAATTTATATTTAAGAAAAAAAGGAGGGCCATTGAGATGGCTCAGTGGCTAAAAGCATTTGCCACATGAACCTGGTTATCTGAGTTTGATTCCGGGAACCCAGGTAAAGGTAGGAGAGAACTGACTCCACAAAGTTGTCCTCTGAACTCCACAGGCCCTCTGGCATGCCTCCACACCCTCTACCCTACCATCACACACACACAATAATAGTGAATAAAATTTGAAAAATAACAAAAGAAGGAAATTGATCTGGTATCCCAGAAAGTGATAATTTGAGTTTTACCATACTTGGGCTACTCTGGATTACATTTCTTTAGTTTAAAAATATTGCAGCATCCTTTACAGAATCACTTATTTTCCTTCTTAGAAAATATTCATGTGCTAGATTGTGCAAAGTGACTCAGTAGTCTCCTGTGATCCAAGAGGACTAGGTTCTGAGATTCCGAGTGGGTGACTGAGACTGCAGATGGCACTGAACCCCATATGTTTTATTTATTTGTTTTTATATATACTCACAATTATGATAAAGTATAATTTATAAATTAGGCACAGTAAGAAATTAATAACAACATGATAAAATACATGTGATGGTTTGAATGAAAATGTCCCCCATAGGCTCCAAGTATTTGGACATTTTGTCCTCAGATGATGGCACTGTTTTGGGAGGTCTTAGAAGGTGTGGCTATCCTGGAGGAAGCACGCCACTGGGGGTGGGCTTAGAGAGTTCTTAAGCCTTGCTGGATCTCCAGTTGCTCTCTTGCTTCCCGTGCCTGCGTGATGATGTGAGAGCTTAGCTTCCGCTCCTCCTCCAGCCACCTCTGCCACCATGCCTCCCTGCCAGGATGGACTATAATTCCCCTGAAACCGTAAGCTCAAATAAATTTTTCCTTCTATAAACTGCTTTGGTCAGTGTTTCTATCACAGCAACAGAAAGGTGACTAATATAATATATCACTTAGGGGAACATTTTATAATAAAAGTAAGGTGAATATGGTTTCTCAGTTACCATGGGGTGGGTGGTGTATACTGTGTGGATATACTAAACAAATGGGTGAACAATGTCTTAGGCAAAACAGAACAGGATAGTATAAAATTTCATCATGCTATTTAGAATGGCAATTTAAAACATATGGATTGTTTCTTTTTTTTTTGAATTTTCTGTTAATATTTTTGGATTGTTATTTGCTAGAGGTAACTAACTGCAGAAAGTAAACCATAGATGCAGGAGAACTTGTGTGTAGTAAACCTTCGTGGCTCATAATTCTGTGTCATCTTGTAAATTCCAGAAGTGACAATAAAGGTCTCTGCGAGCTGCCAGAGTCTATGATTTCAAGATTTGAATTAATTTTTGTTTTTATTAGCTTTTGAAATATTGATCAAGAACTCTCCCCTGCTAGAAGGCAGGAAACAAATTTTAGGGTAGGAGAAGAATGTTGGTTGGTTAAAAGAAATCACCCAACTCGACTTTTTCTGTTTGGAGGTTGCTAGCTCTCAGTTCTGATTACATTGTTTACACCTTATTTTGAACACTATTTTGTTTTTCAGTTTGGGTGGTCATTTGAGCTGACTTTTTCCCCCATCATCCTTTGCAGTCAATATTGTTTTGTCAGTAACATCCAAGGCCATCAGTAGAGACAGAGTGAGCACTGGTATGTCTTCAAGATAGGAGATATATTAGAGAGAAAGAGAGCAGGAAGTAAAAACAGCATTTTAAAAAGATTTATTTTACTATTTTTAAATTTTGTGTAGGTGTGAGAATATGTGTAGGTGCCTCTAGAGGCTGGAGGCATGGGATTGCCTTGGAGCTGGAGTTATAAGTGGATGCTGGGAACCGAACTCTGGTCCTCTGGAAGAGCAGTACCTGCTCTTAACCTATCTCTCCAGCCCCAGAAATGAGATTTTGTAAAAGGGATGAAGTGCATGTTGCAGTTATTTATCCCACCCTTCTGGGAAGAGACTGAGGATGTTTTTTGAAGAATAAATCTTTTTCATAATGGCTGTAGTTTGTTTTTCAAACATAGTTTCTTTTTTCATGCATTTATTTGTGTGTATGTGAGGCATGCATATATAGGTCAGAGGACAATTTTCAGGAGGCAGCTCTCTCCATCCATCTATGCAGATTCCAGAGATTGAATTCAGGTTGTCAGGTTTGGGGACAAGCGCCCTTACCCACTGAATCATCTAGCCAGCCCTCAAATATGGCTTTTATCTTGCTGTTCTTGCTGAATAACTCATAATGAAAATTGAGATGATTCATGTTTACCATACTGCATGTGAGATGACACGGCTAAATGAAAGACTGTATAGAAGTATTAAAAATTTAATCTTAAATTAGGAAATCACAAAAGTGAAGGTCCCTTTCATTAAATTGCTAAAATCTAATTAAAGAGATGCTAGGATACCATTTTTGGTGTCAGTATGAATGTTTTAGGATTTTACTTTTTAAAAATTTTTCTAAACTTTATTTTTATTTTATGTGCGTGAGTGTTTTGCCTCCATGCATGTAAGTGTACCATGTACATGCAAACTTACAGGGGCCAGAAGAGGGCTTCACATCCCCTGGAACTGGAGTTAAGGACAGTTGTTAGCCACCATGTTTGTGCTGGAAAGTTAACCCAAGTCCTCTGGAAGGCAGCCAGTATTCTTAACCGTTAAGCCGTCTCTCCAGCATCAGGATTTTAATTTTAATATTTCCTGACAATATCTGTGTGTGTTTCCCCTTCTCCGTAGGAATGGAAGATGTAACATGTGACAGAACTGAGTTCCTGAGCAACTACCTGACTAATGTGGATGATATCACTTTAGTGCCTGGAACGCTAGGAAGAATTCGATCCAAATTTAGCAATAATCCTAAATGTAAGTTGGTTCTTTTAAAATATTAAGTGGTTCAGCTAATGATTCAATGAAAGAAGTAAGAATATTTGCACACACAAAAAAAATCCTACTAGAGACTCAGTTTTCTTATCTGAGAAACAAGGATGACAAAAGACTGGCTATCTCAGAGAGCTATTTTGGAAATAAACTGTATGTATTGTTTACAGTGGTTCCTGGCATAGAGTAGCACGAAGCAAACATTCGCTCTTGTTTTTATCACGAGCGTTTAATTTGAAGCATGTTTACAATCATGAACTACTGTTTATAAAGGAGGACTTTTTCAACATCAGGGTCAGGCTGGTCCCTTTGGTGAAGCTAGAGTCTCACACAGGTCTTACAGAATTACCCTTGTACCCTCCAAGTTCCAAGTGCCTTGTTTAAGGGGGCTCTTTCTCTTTGTGAGGGTATAAAGACCTTAGAGATTGTCAACTTTTCTGAAAGAGTCAAAATTTAAAAAGGAACTAGAAAAATTTTGAGTCTGGCTTTTTCAAATTCAGCATGCTCAAGTTATAAGATGTCATTGACATGAACCTCTTGTTGGTGCTGTCATCTAGACTTTGAAAAGTACATAGTTTCTCTTTTGAATTCAATGTACATGTTCATGCATATGGTATTATGTTACATGAGGACATTTTCATGTAAGTATATGTCGTATGCATAGTTTTACTTTCTATGTGCTACATTAAAAATGAAATGAATCCCTTCAAGAAGTTTCAACCTTCTGAATTCTAACCCTTAACACCAAACTCAGAACTTTGGAAATTTAACTTTTTCCTCAGTTATGTTCCCGAATCAACACAAATGGGACACGTTCCAAGGTCAATATTGTGAAATCAACAAAATATTGGTGTTTCCTCCTTTTTCCTATGTCCTCTCCTGTCCTTTGTGGCTTCATACCTTTGCTCCCTTGGGCTGGATGTGTCTTTATAAATGGCACCTCTTTATCTTAGCATTTGCCTTTGTAGGCTTATGCAAGAATTCACTTATTTATCTTTTATTTCAAATGTACTTCTGACATCAGTAAATGTAACGGGGAAACTGAAGAAAAGCAAAGTTTTGTTGGGGTGGGTCTGTGAAATCATAACCACAATAATGAGGTGCTTTGTGCTTTACGTTCATTTTAGAAGAGGCAGTGGAGTGGGCAGGGAAGGCTACAAATGGTGGCTGCATGCTTCTGGTCACATCCCAGCTCTGACAGGTTCTCATCAAGAAGCTGGACAAATTGCTCCAACACACAGTTGCCCCATGTACAGGTTGTGGGGGGAAGACAAATGAGAGATTATGTAAACATGATTTAGATTATGTTTAGACTATAGTCAAAGCTGTATGTCGACGATGACAATGATGTTTTGGTTTTATGATGATTTTAGCCAAATATGCATGCAGTCTTATTTGATCATTCCAATAGCTCTATGTGATCTGTATTACTAGTCTCTATAGAAAGTAGAAGTTAAGGGCCAGATGGGGGTTGAAGAAGCTGGTAGAACAGGTGACAGGAAGTAGCAGAGCTGGGATTTGAACCCTGATTTACTGATTTTAAAACTTTTTCAAATTACATTTATTTATTGTGTTTGTGTGCCACAGAGTCCATCGGGTGTCACCAACCGTAGGTGAAGGTTAGAGGACACTTTGTGAAAGTCAGTTTTTTCTCCTTATACCATGTAGGCCCTAGGAATGAAACTCAGGTTGTCAGACTTGGTGACAAGTACCTTGATACTCTGAACCATGTGGTTGGCCCCAATTTGCTGATTCTTTTTCACTGTTTCCTCATTCAAAGTGGGTCTGGTAGCATGAAATGATGAGAATTTCAGACTTGAAGGACTGGTGTCTCAAACAGATGCATTAGATATTTCCTAGGAATTCTGTGGGATGTAGCTGATGAGATTGCCCCAGGCTGTTTATTTCTCTAAATGATCAAAGGACATGACCTTACTCTATTTGATCCTTTTTGAAGACCATGATTCATGAGACTAAAGAATATAGAGGTCCAGTGTGTGGTTTTCTTAGCGGGATTGCATGGGGTTCCCCAGAAAGTACGCACTCTCGCCTTCAAAAACTACTTGTCTGAGTGAGAATTCTAATAGCTCCTGCCTGCCAGCATTGTTTTGAATGACCAGAGAGAAGACAGCACACAGCATGGATTCAATTTGGGCTCATCTTTGTTGTTATCATTATCACTTACTTACTTTCCATTAAATGAAACTATTAAAACTTAACTTCAACTTGAGTAGAATGAAATTTGTATTTTAGCTTTGGATTCCAGAGCTTTAGAACCAAGTTTCTAAAGAAAAGTTTTTGGTGTGCGTATGTGTATACTCTAAAGCAACCTGCTTTTTCCACAAATGTAAACAAATGTTTATTAGTGTTTATGAATAGATATTTATTGAGTGTTTACTACTCACCAAGCCCTGGGGATTACAACAGCAAATGATGTAGACAGGGCCCACCCCACTCAAGGTTCTGTCCCGGGAGGACTGCACTGGGACCCTGGTGTTTCTTCTGAATGCTGCTTTCCTTTTCTGCTGACTCTATAATGACATACTGAAGCAATTTTTTTTCTTTGAAAACAAAACAAAATACAACTTACAATCTCCTCTTTCTCCCCACAGTTCCCTCAAAGGGGGACCTTGAGACAATATGATCCTGTGTCTACACAGCCATCATTTGTACAGTTTGCTTTATGCTAGTTCGGAGTGTTGACTGAAATAGCATTTGTCTGCTGGTAGTAAAAAACAAAGCAATACACACATGTGAGCTTGTGGCTGGAAAGGAAGGTTCACCTAGATGATTAGTGATAGCACCAGAAAGAAACAAACTTGCTTTAAAAGCATAGCAGTGCGTTAGCAGACTCATCTTACTGTGGATGGTGACTTGTTTCAAAGAATTGTAAATAAGTGAAAAGCTATAGCAAAAGACACCCCCCCCCTGCCAGGTGATGAGTTTAGTTCCTGACATCAGATTACAAATAAACTCAAGTCCATGCTCCACAGGAATCCTTTGGGACAACTTGAGACAAGTTACTAAGCAGTAAGTATCTTGGTGCTATGGGAGGAAGAATTTCCTTTCAGAAGAGGAGCCTGAATCCTGCAGGGCAGTTTGTTCTACTTATTTGGTTGACTCTCCATTACTGAAATACTAAACACTGACACCCAATTAAATATGTGCCTAAGACAACACATTAAATGAGTGGAAGAATTAAGTCTCTTGTTGCAAAAATCACTTCTGTCTGTGGTTATCGTCATGTGTTTTGAAATCTTTCTCCCTCTCTCTACACAGATGACCCTAAAGCCATTATTGCTAATCTCACGGTAAGTGTTGCAAGCCATCAGGTCCCTGCCCTCAATGCAGCTTCCACATGCTCACCTCCCCGTGTTTGCCTTCCCTGTGGGCAGTTAGGAACATTTTTCTCGCAGATCTGTCATCTTGTATATTTGTTTCCCCATAGAGCTTTCAAAACTTCTGGCCTATGGTCAACTGTAGACTCCCCGATGATCTTGGCAATGATACAAATTGAGATTATGTTCCATCCATTAAGCTGAGCAGTATTCATTCAAGATTAATCAACTCTTTACTTTCTCTGAAGCAGATCTGTCCACCACCTTCAGCTTCTCCCATCCAGCATCCAGACTTCAAAGCACTTGAGTATATCACCAGACAGACCTGCATATATCCGCCCTTCTCTTTTCTCCCCATCTCCCACCCTTTGACTTGAAGCAGTTGGGGAAAACCTTGCATTTTGAACTGCTCTCTGTCACGGACTTGAGTGAGGAATTTATCTTAAAATGTCCACCTCTGATGGCCTACAACTCATTTCCAAAGCTACCTAACTCCTTTAGAACCTATTTGTTTTCAGAAGGCATTATTTAATAGGTTAGCAAATTCCATTTATTCACGAATTGGGCTTAACACTGCCTTGAACTTTCAAGGGACAGACTGTGTAGGACTTTTTAAAAAATTCCTCCAAAAGACCAATATTTATTTGTATTTCAGTGTAAAAAGCCAGATCAGCACTTTAAGCCTTATATGAAACAGCACCTTCCCAAACGTTTGCACTATGCTAACAACAGGAGAATCGAAGATATCCATTTATTGGTGGACCGCAGATGGCATGTTGCAAGGTAACTTGGAGATACTGTCTCTGTTGTCTTTACAACCACCTCTTTAGTACCTGGAAATTCTATAAGGTTCTTGGTCAGCATTAAGAGAAATCATGCCTGGAAACCTCACCATTTGCAATGATTTTTGTGGACTGGATAAGCAATGACTATGGAGGAAGCAGATCTCTAGTTCTGGGTCTTTTTAGGTTCTTGGTACATCTCTGAGCATGTGTTTTATTTCTGAAGACATTCCAGCCTCTATTTTTATCACTTGAGCAGGTCAAGCTATAACTGTAATCTTGTTCGAGCACACTGGGCCAGCGTGGACTTGATTGACATGATTGTCTGTATCAGTGTTTGTAGAAGGTTTCAGGGACTGTTAACACTTAAACTTCTGTTACTGTGGCCATGTCTATATTATTCAAAGCATAACTGATGCTCACGATTTTTTGAACTATAGAAGACTCCCCTACATTAAAGAGACTCACTTTTGCTTTGGAATCTGCTGTAGAACATGTCTTGGGGGCTGTGCCGCTTTTGAAAGACTAAATCACTAAAGATTTAATCATTTTCTTTTTTTTTAAGATCTATTTTTATTTATGTGTGTGTGTGTGTGTGTGTGTGTGTGTGTGTATGCCACATATGTGTGAGTGCCCACGAAAGTCAAAAGAGAACATAGGAGCCGCTGGAGCTGTAGTTACAGGTGGTTGTGAGCTGTCTGATGTGGGTGCTTGGAGCTAAACTCAGGTCCTCTGGAGGAACAGCAAGTGAGCTGAGCTACTTCTTCAGCCCTAGATTTCATAATTTTCCTTTTTTCCTTCCTTCCTTCCTTCCTTCCTTCCTTCCTTCCTTCCTTCCTTCCTTTCTTTCTTTCTTTCTTTCTTTTTTCTTCGTCTTTTTGAGACAGGGTCTTCCTATAGTCCCAGCTGTCCGGGAACTCACTATGTAGACCAGGCTGGCCTTGAACTCACAGAGATATGCCTGCCTCTGCTTCCCGAGTGCTGGGATTAAAGGCGTGCACCACTATACCCGGCTAGATTTAATCATTTTCATACAGGCCCTAAGGTGATGTGTTCTACTCACTCCTACTCCAGCTTTTCCTTAAAACAAGTGTGATAAATATGCTTGTAACAGTGACTGAGTAACTAACTATGGCATGTATTTTAGCTAGGCAATAGTTTATAGCATAGGAAGATGATGAGAAATACTAGTCTTCTAGGAATTTTGTAACAATAAGAAACATTAGACATGTGTGAGGTGTAAATATTCTAACTTTAAAGGGTTCAAGTAGAGTTAGATATGTGGGATTGTGAAAACAGGTACATTAAGGCTAGAAGTGATTAGAACCATGTAGGATAGATAGGAATCACATAGAGACATTGCAGAGATATGGCTAACATAGCTTGGCTGATGCCATCCTCTGCAGGACCTTTAGTCTGTGGTACCTTGGCATACAGAGGGAAGTTGATGCAATTGGCCAGTAGTTATGAAGAAAGTTTGAGTTGAGCAGAAATTAAGTGAAAGATGACAACAGTTGATCAAATTAATGTGGATCAAAGCCAGGCAATAAATCTTTTAAATTAACTCTTGCACTATTGATTTATTGTACACACGTGTATTATACACACATGCCCAAAGTTATTCTTGAGTGGAAACTCACTCATTAGATTTTTTCCCCCAAGCACTGTGTTTTACTGATATGCCCCCTACATGCACATATATAATGTTTATATTAATAGACATCAACTTTTTGGAGGGGGGAAGAAAGCCATAAAACCTCTAGGTCACAAAAGGTTAATGATCTTAATGTCTTGAAAGGAATGTTTCTATTTCTTGTTTGTAAATAGAGATGTTGTCTGGCAAGGCCAGGCTTTTACTAGCTATGACATGGTTGGTGTTAGGTTGACCACTGCATTGATTCTGGGTGTATTATATTTATAGACAAGTTTGCATACAAACGCTTCTATAGAATATAGATCTCCATGAATTGATTCGACATCATGTATCTGAAAATGCCTGGACGGAGCCTGGGGAGGGTAAAGGGAAGTAGGAAGACATGGTACCAGTGTCTGGAATCTTACAGTCTTGGAGTCAGTGGAGCACGTAGCAGGGAGAGTATTGTCTGCAACAAATGTCCTGCTCAGTGTAAGCAGAAGGCACAAAGAGGGCACCCTGACTTCTTTTCAAAACTTCCTATTTGTCCTGGGGTGATTGTCAAAGCAGTGACACTTGGAGACACCAACAGAAGGGGCTTGTTATCTGTTATGGCCGTGGGAGTGATGCAATTAAAATAGACAACAGGCCTTCAGAAGCCCCTTCTTAGGAATCCTCTGTGCTTTGAAACTGGCTTTTTATCATTGTGATTTGAGAAGGAACTCTTACTGATCACAAAATTATTTCAATGTAGGAAACCTTTGGATGTTTATAAGAAGCCATCAGGAAAATGTTTTTTCCAGGGGGACCATGGCTTTGATAACAAGGTCAACAGCATGCAGGTGTGTTCACAAATCCAAACTTAAGCTGTAATTTTGTGGTTCTCGGGAGGGAAGGGTGGGGTGAGTGAAGCTGATGGTTTTCAGACATGAGAGGAAGGTCTGCAAGTGGCTGTCAGGAATGTTAACTGTGTCTCTTTTCTTTTCTTTTGGAAGACGGTTTTTGTAGGTTATGGCCCAACATTTAAGTACAGGACTAAAGTACCTCCATTTGAAAACATTGAACTTTACAATGTTATGTGCGGTAAGTCACTTGTTCAATCAAAACTGATGGAACGATATTCAGTCAGTGAACTTCCTCACTGTTAGAGAAAGAAACCCGATGTCTATGTCTAAGACCTTCTCTCCCTGCAAAAAAGTATTGTAACTTGCCTAATGGTTCAAAGGACAGAATGCCACCCCTTTCTAAGGCTTCTTTGTGTCCCTTCAACAGTTGACTAATAGGGAGTTTTCATAGTGTTGCTGTTGGCAGCCTTTGGTTGATCCAACATAACATTACAGTTTGACACCGTTGGTCAGAGACCTGATGAAGCAAGAGTTCCACGCAGAACTTTCTCCCACCTCTCTCTCATGTTGCAGTCCAGTGAAAAACTTTGCCAGCTTGCACCCCAGCCAGCTATTTATGTGCTCCTAATTATTTTTCTTCCTTGAGCTTCTCGTTGCTGAATGAGGACAACTTTTCCTATTTAGCAAGGGAGTGCCAGTCTGGTGGTTAGAGGGGGAGTCTACAAGTCGGGTCTCCTGGGTTCTTTTCCCAGCTTGGCCACTAGCTCTCCACTGTCCTGCCTCTCAGCTTAGGCAAGTCACTGTATGCCCACTTGGCAACCATTCACTTTGCTATGAAATCAGCCTGTTCATCTCTCAGTGGCCACCGAGGCACATGGCCAAAGCCTCCTCTTGTCCCCACACTTTTGTGGAGTGCATTAGAGGCCAGGCTATGGTTATTTATTGATTATAAGTCTTATTTCAAAATTTGGGTTTAAGAAGTCTCAGAGAAGGGCAGGAAGGCAATGATACTGACACAAATAGTTCCTGAGTTATAACTGTCACCTCAAGGCAATAGCAGAATAAGCTCTATTCCTCCACTCTGAGTTTCTGGGAATGTCTGTCTCTACTCATGGTCAGAAAAGAACAGTGCTCTTTTAGGAGGTGGTGGCAAAGCATCATAAGGTCAGAATCGTCCAGAAGATACAAAGGGAATGCGTAACATGTACATTGAGTTTTATCCAATTGTGATTTGTGTCCAACTTTAAGAGACTCTTGGAAGGTGAAAGGGTTTGATTCTTACCATATCTTGGCAAGGAACATATAAGAAACATCTGCATTCTTTTCTTTCTTTTCATCAGATCTCCTAGGATTGAAACCAGCTCCTAATAACGGCACTCATGGAAGTTTGAATCACCTATTGCGTACAAATACCTTTAGGCCAACCGTGCCAGAGGAAGTCACCAGACCCAGTTACCCAGGGATTATGTACCTCCAGTCTGATTTTGATCTGGGCTGCACATGTGATGATAAGGTAGAACCAAAGGTAGAAATAATCTTTATGTTTGTCACGTAGAAGTTTGTTGGGTGTATAACAGCGTTGTCCAGTAGAACTTTCTGTGATAGTGGAAATGATTTCTAACTCTGCTGTCCAAAGTAGAGTCAGTGGCTGATACGACAAAGGGACTAAAATGTTTATCTAATTGTTTTAAATTTAAATTTAGTAAGCCATGTGTGGGCCACAACAGGTGTGGAGAGTGAAAGGCAAAATGGCTGCTCTGTGGATTCGCAGTCCCAATCATTCTCTTTTAAAAATCATGCATTATCAATTATTCATGGTCTTGAGAGATAACAGGTGGCTATGCCAAAATGGCTCTGAAAGGCACTTTAAAAAAAAAAATCACACTTAATGAGAGAATTGTTTGCAAAAGCTGGGAAGGGTGGATGGAAGTCAATGCTCTGGGGTTAGCAGAATACCTTGTAAAGCCTGAAAAGTCAAGCCAGAGAGAAAGTTACTAGGGGGGGAGAAAAGGGGGAGAGGGAGAGGGAGACCATTGTGTTTGGTAGATGAATACAGTCCAAACTCTGTGACTTGGTAGGCTAATACCCTTGTCTCTCTCACCTCTATTCCACTATGTCTCCCATTGGTGAAGCCTAACAGGAAGCCAGAGGGCAAGTTTATTCGTACTGTTCCCAGAGCTCAGCTTCCTAGGACACAGAACAGGGTGGGGAAGGTACAGCATGGATGGATGTTGTCGCAAACATACACAACCCACTGTAACCTTTTGGGACAGTTTTTGAATATCAAACACACAAAAGTATGAAGCAATAATTTGCTTATTCAATTTTTATATTGAGATTTTTTATAGCTGCCAACCAGTGCTTCTATTAGCAGAAATTAGCCAATGTTTCTGCAGTGAGTTGGTATGATGCCAGCCCAGAGCAAGGATATACTATATGACATTTAATTATAACTAAAATGTGAACTTTCTATTAGGCCTCAGAAAAATGGACAATAATTCCCCTGCTGCCAAGTCTCCTTCCCTTACCACCATTTCCCTCCCAGAATTCCTGTGGGCCCAGAAGCCACAGATTGGGAGACTCTAGACTAAGTGCAGTTCATTTCACTCTTCCTCCTGCACCCATATTTATCTCTTTCCTCTCTTTTGCTTGACAAAGCCTAGGAAGACTAATGAGTTAAAGGCAGGCAATGCTCAGAGCTCCGCTGGAGGTATCTGGCTGCCAAATTCAATAGGAAGTTCTTTTGTCAAGTGGACGCCAAATATAATTTTAGAAGAATCTATATAAATCCTGTCTTTATTTTCTTAAAACAAAAACCTTTTACTTCTAAGCAGAATTAATTGGGCTCCTAGAAGTGTGTGTGGGTCTCAGGTCTGGCGCTGTATTTTTACTTTCCTTATACATAGCTCTTAAATAATATATGGACTATCTTTAACATGTCTCCAAAATTACCTATGATGCAATTTTGCATAATTTAAATTTTTATGTGGATGCTATTCTAGTTTCTGAACCCTGTAATTATTTGATTCTCCATTGTTTCTGATATACATTTATGTATATTAGTACATGAACTTTTAGTTCACTTACTTTTAATGCTAGTAGTTACATTTAACATATAAATAGACCATATTGTTTTTATTTATTTTACTTGGTAATTTTCAAACATTAGCTCTTACAAACAGTTATTCAAGAGACATTGGTGTAAATGGGGTTTCCTACTCAGATGCTTGAGGGTCTTCAGGACATATAGTGGTGCCTAGAGTTGTTGAGCAATGGCTTTTCAGAGTTGCTCTGTCATTACTTTCCAAAATTATTGAGTCATTATTTTTTAGCTTTGGAGAAAGAAATTTCATACACTGGTTTGGAGAGTCATTTTGGCGTACTCAGGGATTAATCTGAAATTCTCAGGCACTACAGTAGCTAATTTACAGGTATGTGCCCAAATAGTCATTATTGTCAACCTGGGGAGTTACTGTGATTATGCATGACTTTAAGGGAAGGAAACAGAGCCATGGAGAGATTAACGAATGTACCAGAGGTAGAGCTTAGAATGCTACATTGAGATAAAATAGCAGTTCCCCAGAAGAACTTACCAAAGTGAAAGACTTCAGAATTTTCTTTAGAATTTAGTAAGACACTAAATACAAAGAAGGGTAGAGGAAAAAAAGGGCTGGAGAGACGGCTGAGCAGTTAAGAGCACTAACTTCTCTTGCAGAGGACCCGGGTTCGATTCCCAGTACCCACATGGTGGCTATGAGCTGTCCTTAACTCTAGTTCCAGGGGAATCCGAAGCCCTCTTCTGACCTCTGTAGCATTGCATGACACGGGTGCGCTCACATACATGCAGACAACACACTCATACACATAAAATAAAAATAATAAATAAAATATTTTTTAAAAAACACACTTCTGATTTGCTTTCTTTTTTTCTTCCTGGTTGTTACATTTGAAGAACAAATTGGATGAACTCAATAAACGCCTTCATACCAAAGATTCTACAGAAGGTAAGGGCTATTTCAAAAACTAGTGAGATGTTTTTACTTCTAGTTTTTAAAAACCAAAAACTTCTTTTTCACTTCATAGGGTCAGCCCAACATTTCTAAACAATTTTTATTTATATTGCAAAGTGATTTTTATATCTATTTGGCAAAGGATATTGATTAATTATATGAATACAAGATGTCAGTTGTATAATGGGAAAATTTTATTAGTTTTTTTCATTTTTTTAAATAGCTTTAAACTCTGAAAAAGACACAAATCCATTGGTTATCTGATGGGTCATAAGTTAAGGTGCTAATGGGAGCTTAGGTAAAGGGAATTGTAGTTACAGTGATAAATATTAGCTGCTAGTTCTTATTTCAAAACTCAGTTGTCTGAAGAATCAGTGCATATGTTGTAATGGAGAGTGATGCCCAGAAGAAATCAGAACTCCCTCTTCACACACAGAATCATCTTGAGCCCTGACTTGTTTCCCTCTATTTTACAAACAAAAATAACAAGCATGTGTTAGTTAAATTTTGGGATCTTATGGTATGGTAACACCACCACTACCACCACCAACAAAACCATCACAAAACAAACAAAAAGAACAGCCCGAGAATCTTAGTGATTTCTACCAGGAAAGAATGACACACATCTTGCTTACATTTAGTGTGCTGAATGTAGGCTCTGTGAGCCCTGCAACACTTAATGTGAAATCTAGGTGCAAGAGTCTCCCCTGTCTTGGACATGCCATGCTTATGGTAGCATGCAGAACTGAGTACTGGAACTGGGAAGTTCTGCTTTGATCAAGTGATATGCCACTTCTACTCAGAGTTCATTAGGCAAGGCCAAACACATGATACCAAGGCTCTAGACAAGTTTATTCCTTCCTTGTCCTATAAGTTACATGGCCATAGGTTAGGACATAAAATAATCAGGAACAATAATAGACTCTATCATGTAAATTCTTCTGTCTGATTTTGAATTCTAGAAGACTAAAAGAAAAGAGGAGAGAGTGGAGAGATTGCTCTACTACAGTAGATAGGATAGCTTTCTGAGACAGCAAGGGAATGCATTCAAGAAGCAGACAGAACCTGAGCACAGCAGTTGCATATCTTATAGTAAAGATGCTCAGAGTCAAATCCTCCCAAGGCCATCACTTGAGCTATGAGCTTCCATATGGTCCTGTTTACCATGTGTGCTTTCCAATCTGATTAAGCAGAGGTTGAGGAAAGCAGCTGCAGATTTTATTTACTTGACTTGTTTCCCCTTTCTACAAAAGATCTTCATCTTCCTTTTTCTTCCTTTTCTGCATCACCACCCACCCCCTTTCCCTTTGATCATAGAACACACAGTCTCTTTGGCATGTATTTGGATAGTGTAGTTTTACAGATAAGACTTTGTTGGTGCAAGCTCTACATATCCCCCACAAACTCTACAAGTGATTTGAAAGTTTGGCATCTAACCTCTAGCATACTGTAGTGTCATTATAGGCTTTTAAAAAAGGGATGCAAGCTGCCAGGGGCAAGGGTTAGGGAGTCTCATGATTCCAAAAGCCACTCACCAAACCAAAGCAATAGTTCTGAGATGGTCCTCCTCTTAAAGTCACTGCTGGATTGTTCATGATGATAACTTTCTGATGTTTTTTGCTGATTCAAACTCTGGGTGTTCTTGGTCCTAAAATATTTTCATAAAAAAGCTTCTGCATTTAGTTTGTCGGTGGTGGCCTTGAGCTCTCATGACAAAGTCGGCCCCATAACCCAGCACAAGCACAGGCAGTGGTATCAGACCTCCAAGCATGATAATAAGAGGCATTGTCTTGGTGAATTTGTGACTGTCAGGGCTAGAAGAGTCTAGGTCAGTGATGGTGGTTTTATGCCATTTGGCTCAGAGTTGAACATAAGTATCTTATATGTATCACCGAAGGACTGTTTTCTATCACAGAGTTTACGGTTTGTGTGTTTTTGCGGAGACAAACCATATGTACTCATTTGTCTTTTGTTGAGTGCTTAGCTAGAGTTGGCTCTGGCTTCTCTAAGACAGCCATAACACGGGTAGTTTTTTAACCTATGGCTTCAAAATGACAGCATAACATATTAGGGTGAAATCATGGCATCTAGATTACTTAATTTGGGTCATTGTGAAGAACGCCTGTCAGATGCAGTTTAAGGTAGGAAAGATGTATTCTGGCTCATGGTTTCAGATTTCAGTCCATCATGGTGGAGAAGGTGTGGCAGGACAGCTTAGTTCATGGCAGACTTGCTGTGTGATGAAAAGTCATTTTCTTGTGACACTGAGTCAGTGGCTGAAGGAATGGATGACATGGGAGATTTAGACCCTCTCTTCATGGGCAATTCTGAATAATAATACAAAGAGGAATAATTACAGTATTTGCTTTTCCCTTAGTCTTTTTCTGTGTCTATATTGCTACAAAATGTTTTTCATTTTTTAATTCTAGCATTGCCATCTTTGAATGAAAACAACCTAAAGTCATCTCAATACCTGTGCATGTACACTACTTTATACACGAGAGGAATTTAATTTAGATAGTAAAAAAATGACTCAGTAATTAGTTTTTTAATATTTTTTTTTAATTTTATGTGTATGAATATTGTCTGCATGTATGTAGATGCACCTGTGTGGTGCAATGCCCACAGAGGTCAGAAGAGGGCATTGGATTCCCCTGGAACTGGAGTTATGGACTATTGTTAGCCACCATGTGGGTGCTGGGAATCAAACCTGATCCCCTGCAAGAGCAGTCAGTGCTCTTAACCACTGAACCATCTCTCCAGCCCCAACTCAGAAATTCTTGCTAACTTTAAAGAAGAGTCTTGAATATTGTCAGGAAATTTCTGAAAGTTTGAATCCTGAAATGCTTCTCATTTTTGTTTTTTTTTGGAAGATGTTTGTTTTCCTAAAAAAGGGGAGACAATACCTTTTTTTTTGTATAGATGTCTCTATGTGTTTTGGAAAACACTTGGAAAGTTATCAATACATACTATAATTGTTTGTGATTTATAGTAGGATTCAAGATGCTGATGATAAATACTACATTTTAATAACCCTTACCTATCAGTATTCTTCGCTGAAATCAAAGTAGAGCTTGGACCCTTTACTAAACCACTACACCTGTAACCATAGCTGCTTTGGGTAAAGACTGAACTTGGTGCTTTACAGCTTTTGTTGCTCCCCAAATGTAACATTTTTTAAGAGATTGAAGGCATTAGGGGGGTTAAGTTGTAGAGTTACAGAGCTAAAAAGAGCTGAGATGAGATTTGGCTTAAGCTGATGTATTCTCTGGAAAAACTTCTCGAGGGTTGCTAAGAGAGAATTGCAGTACATATCAGAGTACAGCTGATGCTTTGATACAAACGCATTCTCATTAGGGTTCTCTTTTCTACTTTTATTATTTTTTAAATTGTGTGTGTGTGTGTGTGTGTACATGACTTCTGGTGCCCTCAGAAGGAAGAGGCATCAGATTACCTGGAGCTAAGTTGTGAGCCTCCCAATGTGAATTCTGAGGACTGAACTCAGTCAGGTCCTCTGTAAGAGCAGTACACTTTCTTAACCCCTGAGCCACCTTTTTAGCCCCCTCATTAGTGTTTTCTAGTGTTACCTGTGTAGACATTGTTCACACAGAACTTATACCCAAGACTAGTTGCCCCATTCATTTGAACACATCCATTTTTAGAAACACAGCAGACAGTATCTAACTGGAGATTATTCAGAAGACAAGGGAGAAGAGTAACAATCCGGAAGTTGGACCCTAGAGTTTAGGTGTGTTGCACACCTGAATTATCTTGTGCAAAACCTTCACTAGAAAATGTAAGTGATCCTGATCAGCCCAATCTATCTCTCAGGATTATATTAGGCAGGTCAAATGTAGAAACCCACTATTTTAAAAAAATTTGTCAGTAACCAGTTACCAAATATATGTATTTTCTATATATGTGATTGGCATCACTGGAGATGGAGGATATACTGGTGAATAATATAGTTTAAATCCGTGTCCTCATAAAGTTACTCTTCTGTTGCAAGATTTAGCAAACAGATGAATTACAGCATAGTGTTTTAATGGCCAAAGCGGAGAGCACAAGGCACAAATAGCACAGAATCAGTTCCCAAAGGAGGTTGAAATGGCGGTGAATGATAATGGGTACTTGTAAAGCAAAGGACAGAAGGCACAGGAAAAGGAAAGGCTTTTTTGTAGAAATTTTGTGGCAAAGTTTAAGGACATGTTATTGTGGGAGTGAATGCTTAAGAAAACAAAAAGGAAGAAGGATTTTCATGTGACTCCAAGTCAATCTGCGGGAGTATGAATCAGGAAGCAGAGGAGGGAAAAGAAACACAAACTCAAGTCTGCATGACCAAACTTTGGAAGACAAAAAGAGTAAGTTCTGGGGAAGTCCACACCACTTAAAAAGATTTGTCTCAAGGTATTTTGCCAAATGTGGTATCTGGAGGAGAACTTTGGCATATGCTAAAATGCCAGACACTACTGTAAACAGGGAGCTTGGGTGTGGAAGGAAGGCTGTGTCTGGAACTCTGTGGAATGGGAACCCAGCCTGGGAAGACATGGACTATGCCAGTCCACTTCAAGAAATCACAGGATGGGTCTGGGGAGATGGTGTGGTTGGCGAAGTGCCCATCACGGCAAGAATGAGGGCCTGAGTTTGGATACCCAGCACCACGTAAAAAGCCAGGTCTGCTACGCTTCTATAACCCCAGTGTGGGGGAGACAGAGACAGGCAGATCTCTGGTGCTCAGTAGCCAGCTAATTTAGCCAATCAGAAAACTCCAGGATCAGTGTGAGACCCTGTCTGTGATAGAGAGAGATATCTGATATAAACGTCTGGCCTCCATATGCATGTATACACATAGACACACACACATGCACATACTCACACACAGGAACACATGCACACATACAACACTCCTACCCCCCCTCACACATGAAGGAAATCACAGGAGAGAGAATGGGTAATGGGTGCTAAGGTACTCTTGTACAGGAGCAAGTACTTCTAAGTTTCTACACACAGTGGTGTCATATGGTTGGCAAAAATTAATTAATTTTATATTTCATCATAGACCAGTAGAGAAGAAATAAAGAAATCATAAATGTTTGAGGTGATAACTATATACCAATTATGTTGATCTGATCATTAAACACTTTATACAGGAATTAGAATATCATGCTGGGTCTCATTAAGTACATACAATTGTATCAGTGAAAAAATTTAAAGACATTTGAAAAGTAAACATTTTTAAATATCAACACGCTCTATTAAAATAAAGTCAAAATAGGGAACAATAAAAATGAAATTGTAAGAACATGTTGCAAAAGCAGAGTTTGTGGGCTGATGTTGAGATGAATATCTTAGCACGTGTGAAGACTGAGAGCCAAGGACCATTTGTGGTCTGAGTAGGAGCATTTTGTTAAACAGAAATTCAATGTGTGGTTCACTCAAAACCTCAGAGACTCGCAGAGTTAGGTTGCGACTGAACCTGTGATTCTTTGATAAAACTGAAGAAGTAAAATCTAGATTTGAATTCTGAATTTTGAAATGTGTGCTTCTGACTTCCAAGATGACTGTTCTTCTTTCTGGCACAAATTACTAGGCTTTAAGAAAAACTAGGTAGACGTCGAAAAAGACAATTAGGGATTTTGATTGGAGTTTTAGTAGTTTGTTAAAACCATTATATTTTTTTTCTTAAGCTCAATAACAATTGAAAAAAAGGAAATCAGAGAATGATATATTTGTTCTCCAGCTGACTTCTGAAAACTACAGTCTGTCAGTAGCTTGAAGCTCTGAAGCCCAGATTTCTGAGGCAAACTCCGTCTCCGTGTACAGAGCAGGAAGAATAAAGGAGGGACTTCACTGGGGAGGCATGTCGGATGTCCTGCCTCTTCTCCCTTCTTGTATCTCTTCCGTTAGAACTGAATTCGGTGACCGTATTGTTTGTTAGGCACTTTTGAGTATGAACAATTATGCAAGGGCAACAACTGTAAAGTGCCATGTAGGTCACCCTTGCTTAGCTTTGTATGCGCGTGCCATCTCATACTCATGTGCAACATGTTTCATCCTCTGCAATACCACCACACCACATAGATACTAGCGACAGTACAGCCCGGGCTGCATGCTAGTTACATATGTCACGCTAATCATTCCCATGTGAGCTCTGAGGGTAAGAGCTCTAAGCCATCTTTGTTCAGTATCTCTGTTCTGCAGCCCAAGACTTGGCATGAAGAAGGCTTTTAGTAAATGGTTAATGAAGGAGTATGGAGGGAACTAAGGGACAGGATTGGGACTGGGGGAGATGGCTCAGTTGTGCTTGCCTCACAAGCATGAGGACTGGCATTTAGATCCCCAGCACCCATGTAAGATGGTGGGCATGGCAGAATACGCCTGTAATCTCAGCGCATGGGAAGCAGAGACAGGCATATCCCTGGGGCTTGCTGGCCAGCCAGTCGAGCCGAATCAGTGAGCTTCAGGTTCAGGGAGAGACTCTGTATCAGACAATAAAGTGGAAGTGACAAAGGAAGATATCTGCCTCCACGTACAAGCACACACACATGCACACACATGGAGATATATGCATCCATTGCACAAACACACAATAAGTGTCAGGATTGATTAAGAAGACTGGAGGAGTTATCACTGGCAGAAAGAAAATAAATCACGTGTATCATACAGACTTGTTTACAACAGTCATGAGTAAGATTGTACACAAACCAGCCCTTGAAGAAAAGACAGCTATGTTGGAAAATGCCAAGAAATGAGGAGACTTAGAAAAAGAAGGAACCAGAGACTGTACCTCATGTGAACTGTTGTTTAGTGACTGCTCTAAGGAGGGATGTCAGGATGTCACATATATAAAATGGCTGCTCTTTTGCTGTCTTTTTTTTTTTTTTTTGAGACAGAGTCTCCCTATAACCCCAGCAGGGTTGGAACTTGATATATAGACCAGGCTGGCCTTCATCTCACAGAGCTCCACCTGCCTCTGTCTCCCGAGTGTTGGGGTGCACCACCACACCCAGCCATTTTTGCTTTCTTCATAATGGAACAGAGTGAGGGGACAGACTTCAGTCTGAGTTTGGAGGAATTTGCTTGATAAGCTTTAAGACTTAAACGATAAGAGGAGAAAAGCTTCTCAAAGAATCTTGATGCTTCTGCTTCCAGCTGAAACCAGGAAACTCAAAGGCAGCAAAAGTGAAAAGGAATACGTTAATGGAAATTTTGAACCTAGAAAAGGTTTGATTTGAATTTGGAAGGAAAGTCTGGGTTGGTTTACTGCTCCCAAGTGTTACTGCTAAGATTTGCTGGCTTTTAATTTGTTTATTAGATTTCGCTTATTTAATATCATTATGTTATGTTTTGACTTTGCGGGGTGGGTCCTCCAGTTTGGCAGAAGGCTTCAAGTCAGGAAGGCAGACTACCCAGAAGTTGCCTGTGTTGTAAGAGCATGTCTACTCAGCCGCAAATCAGCCGTCCTACTTGGGAGGGTTTGCTGAGCATTGTGTGAACGATTTTCTCCATTACTTACATAGAAGGGTAACACTTTAATTAAAGCAACATGTATACATAATTTAATAAGTGCTTGCCAGAATTGATTTTCTCTAACAAAAAAAAAAATGATAGTAAAAGCAGTTTTTATTCTAAATCACTTAGGGAATTATGAAATCCCTAAGCCTCAATCTCTAAATATTTGGGACTGTAGGGGCCTATGCAAAGTAGGCAAGCTGAGATCCAGGCTTCTACTCTGGGTTGGAATCAAGGTTTGTATGCTGAACTGCCATCTCTTTTTCTCAAGGAGTAAGGCTTCCAACATTTCTTCCTTGAAGAAGCTCAACTCTGCATTCAGGGTCTTAAGTGAGTTCTTCAGTAATTTCTGGAGTTCTCTTCTATATTTGGGGGGGCCTCTTGGATGCCCACTTATTTTATCTATACATGTTCCTTTAAGTCCCTACCTAAGACAAAACTGCTTACTACTCACTTTTTAGGCTAAAATAATGCGTATTTGCAGTTTTCAAATAACAGTAAGAGAAACTTTCTTAATTGAATCCTTGGCTAACCTGATAAACCTCTTCAGGGGTCAAATTATTTAATTGTGTAAAATCCAATCATATTGGCTTTCTACTTAGCTGAATCATCTTAGAATTTACTGTATGTTTCCTTTCTGTACGGACCTTTAATTTTGACAATAAAAAAGCCCGTGAATAACTATAGCATTTACATGAGAGTTTTGATAACTATAAGCCTTGACCCTTGGCTAGGTGATCAGAAGTATTAGGAAAACTAACTAGACCAAATTAAGGAGAAGTAGATGTCTTATTAATAAGCAATGAAGCAAACTTTAGACAACTTGACTCTTCCAATATTTATCATTTGGTAAAGTTTAATATGCACTAAATATTGGCTTTTTTCCTTTCCTAGAGAGACATCTCCTGTATGGACGACCTGCTGTGCTTTATCGGACTAGATATAATATCTTATATCACACTGACTTTGAAAGTGGTTACAGTGAAATATTCTTAATGCCTCTCTGGACATCGTATACTGTTTCCAAACAGGTTATCAAGAAAATTGGGGTTTATGCTCTTCATCTAATAGAATGACTGTTTTGGTTAATAGAATTTTACTTTATTTTTCACAATAGAACCCCCATTGCATCTATTGCAGGATTTTATCTATTGGTTTCTTTTGTGTGTTTGTGCATGCATGTGTGTGTGCATACATACATACCATGGCATGCCTATGGATGTCAGAGGACAGTTTGCAAAGATTGGTTCTCTCCTTCTACCATATGGGTTCCAAGGATTGAACTGAAGTCTTCGGGCTTGGTGACAAGCACCTGTGCTTGCTTTTTTGTACGATGTTTTGAATTAGTCTTTACTCAGTGTTCTAATTGTCCCATTGTGGTATGTTAAGTGTTGAAGGGAGCACCCGTGTTCTTTCAGATTTTTTTTACTTCATTTAAATTTTGCTTAATAGTTCTGGAACACATCAAGGTTTGTTTTGTTTTCTTGTTTTAATGGATATTAATCTTTGGAGCAGTTTTCAGTTAGTAGCAAGATTTAGTGGAAAGTAGAAAGATCCTCAGATACACTCCTGCTGTGTCCTTCCCACTATCAGCATCTTATTTGTGTTTTAATAAAAGGTTTAGTTGGAGTTGCAGCTTGATGATGAGATATGTACATATAGACTAGGAGTTTATTTTGTAATTGTATGTTTTTAATTTGCAAATATAAATGAAGGACAACCTTGGGCATTGTTCCTCAGGAATGTGACCATTCACCTTATTTTTTGAGACAAGGTCTGTGAGAGGCTTGGAGCTAGCCAAGTAGTCCTGGCTGGCTGGCCAACAAGCCCCAGGTTCTTCCTGTCTCTGCTCCCTACACTGGAATTGCAGGAGTGCTCCACCAGGCCTGGTTTTTTTACCTGGGTTCTGGGGACTGAACTCAGGTCCTCGTGTTTCACCAGAGCTTTGCTGACTGGGCTGTCTCCCCAGCCCATGTCTGCTATTCTAGAGAGCATGAGGCTGTTTTATGTTTGAGACAGAGTCTTGCTGGGTAACTCCAGCTAGCCTGGAACTTGCTATGTAAACCAAGCTGTCCTTGAACTTGTGGGCAATTTTTTTGACTCTGCCTCTTGAGTGATGGGGTTACAGCATCACCGCTATGCCCAGATAATTTGTGTTTTGAGACAGACTTTTACTATATAGCCCTGATTGATCTGGAACTTGCTAAGTAGACCAGGCTGGTCTGGAACACACACTGATCTGCCTGCTGAGATTAAAACTGTGTGCCACCAAGCCGTGCCAGGTTGCTAGTTTTTAAGCAATTTTTTTCTATAGTAGTAGTTCTGTTTTATATATTATTTAAATTTTGATAAAAATAGTCTTCTGTTAAAAAGTTAAAAAGTTTGAAAATTATTGACTTACTGTATTTACAACAAAGGACTTTTTAAAATGAGTTGGAATATCAGATTATGAATGGGGTTTTGGTTCAGGCTGCTTGTAGTAGAGAATCTAGCAGTATCCCTGTCATTCATTTGGCCCTATCTCTGCAATAGCATGACTGAATGTCTCTGACTCCCTGTGCAGGCCGAGGTCTCCAGCATCCCAGAGCATTTGACCAACTGTGTTCGTCCTGATGTTCGTGTGTCTCCAGGGTTCAGTCAGAACTGTCTGGCTTACAAAAATGATAAGCAGATGTCCTATGGATTCCTTTTTCCTCCCTGTAAGTTACAGAGTGCCAGGCTCTGATCACTCTGTGTACGTGTATGTATGAATGTATGTATGAGTGTGTATGCATGTGTGTGTGTGTTTGTCTTTCTCTCTCTCTCTCTCTCTCTCTCTCTCTCTCTGTGTGTGTGTCTATTTCTCTGTGTGTCTGCTGTGTCTCGGTCTGTCAATCTCTCTGTGTGTCTGTGTGGGTTTTGGGTTCTGGAGTATGAAACTTGCTGGTTACGATTTTAGTGTTTCAGGATCTCTGCATGAGGAAAAACTTATGAGACTGATTCTTCCAAAGTGAGCCTAAAAAAGACTAGTTTTCAAAAATCCAGCTGGCTAGGAGAAATCTAAAGTACAGAGAAAACTTACCTTCCCTCTTCATATTGTTAAATGAGAATCTAAAAGTCAAATGATAAATCATTAAGGCATTAGTTCTGGGCCTGGAGAGATGGCTCAGCAGTTAAGTGCACTGGCTACTCTTGCAGAAGACCTGGGTTCGATTCTCAGCACCAACACGATAGCTAACAACACTCTGAAACTCTAGTTCCAGGGAATCTGATGTCCTTCTCTGACTTCTGTGGGCAATGCATGACTCGGGTACACTTACATACATACATGCAGACAATACACTCTTTGCTTGGCAGTTTTATACATTTCTAGAATGAGTTTTAAACAGTGTCATCCTGTATTCCCCATTCCCCTCCTTCATCCCCTCCCTCTCCCGCTGGGGCCCTTCTTTGCAAGGAGGGCCTCGCTTTTCATGTCTTCTTTTGGTGTGTGGTCCACTGAGTTTAATGAGTCATTTTCCTGAGCATGGGTGGGAGGCTATTTAGTGGAGCAATCCCGTAGAGGTGATTTCCTAAAAAATAATTATGACTCATTATCTTAATGACATTTTTAAAGAGTCTGAGTTGTAATAATGAAATCAAAGAATTGATAGAGTCCAGAACTAGGTAGGAAGACAAGGGTTGTAAACACTTCTGAGAGCTCTCGAGGAAAGAAAAGTGGCTGGGGGGGGAGGGAAGTGGGAAACGTGTAAGGAGTGAAATGAGAGGGTAGACGGGTTCACCATGTGCTCTTTGGATTGGTCTGCAAGACTTTCTCGATTGACGTAGATTTTGGTAAGCAATGTGCACTATTTATTTTCCTAACGTTTAGATCTGAGCTCTTCCCCAGAAGCTAAATATGATGCATTCCTTGTAACCAACATGGTTCCAATGTATCCTGCCTTCAAACGTAAGTCCAGTATTTACCTAATAAGCTGTTACTTAAGAAAATAAATATTTCTAAATTTACCGCTTACCCTTTCTACCTCCATGTTGATTATAATAATAGTTTGCAATTGTTTAGCTTTTAGACTTTTGGAAGATCTTTCATGTAAATTTTCTATGGCTGACCTGCCTGTGAGGGAAGCTGGTGGGTCGTTTGACCCTTATTCATAATTAAGAAACTGAAGTCACGAGAAGTGACTCAGGGCACAAGTGGAGGAAGCTGAATTCAATCAAGCCCGTGTTTTCTTTTCATCTGCAGTGCTTTCTGTTTTGATGCCTGTTATTTTCATGATTGAGTCTTGTCTGAATTTTAGAAGTCACTTGCCACTTGACATCTGTGTTTCTTTACTGACCTTGTCAGCAAAAACTGATACTTGAAAGGGGCACCTTTCTCCTTTAGGGTGCTCATGTGCTCTGAATTTTGGCCTAAAACCCAGAAGGAGATTAAGGAGTCCTCTAGCTTATGAGAGTATTAATTTCAGATGGTTAGATGGCTATGAAAGTGGTTATTTTAGTTTCTTTGAACATATAATCTATTTGTTCACTAGATAAGTATTTTTGGATGATAGTGATTCTGTATTAGCGCCATACTATATTAGAACCATAAACCATGGCCCTCAAAACCAAGTTCTAGTCCTCACTACTCACTATGTGATCATAAAGACACCATTGATGCTTTGGTTTTTGAAACTTGAGAGGTTATTCCCCTTCCTCTCCCAGTACTGAACACTGAACTCAAGGCCTCACACATGGTAGACAAATATTCTATCACTTAGCCTTATCCTCAGCCACCCCTCCCCTAGAGACTAGGTTTCATGTAGCCCTGACTGGCCTTGAATTTGTTGAGAAAAACTTTGAACTTCCAGTCCTCTGGCCTTTGCCTCATGCTGGGATTGCAGTTGTGTGCCACCATACCTAGTTTATGTGATACTGAGAAGGAAGCCCACAGCTCTGTGTGTGCTAGGCAAACACTCTGCCAGCTGAGCCATGTCCTTAGACCCCAAACTTAGGAAAGTTTATTGTCTGACTTCTAAAGCTTTTGTGAATTTCAGAGTTAATTGACTAATAACCCAAATAATCTATTTTTAAATTTATTGTTATAAATATTCTCTATCATCCACTCACCCATCCATCCATCCATCCAGAAATCAGAATTACATAGCTTGTACTTTTTACTTCATTTACAGTGAACAGTCCTTTATGTTGACAAGGCAGTTGGAAAAGGAAGTACTTCTTGCTAAATTACTTGGTAGAGGAGTATTGAGCTATTGTCTAGGACCCTCAGAGCTCAATTAGAGTCTCAAAATAGGAATGAGTAATTATGTCAGCTACAGTGGTAGACTCACTTGATATAGTGAACTAGCCCATACAATTTAGAGAAAAAGATGTTTAGTCCACATCCTGGTAGTAAATGAAGGTTTATTCAAAGAAGTGATTGGATCTAAGGCTGTGTTGCTTAAGAGTAAAAAATTAAAGTCTGTGTTTTAAAGAACATTTTCAGAAAGTCATATAGGTACATTTATCATAATACAGGATAGAATACAGTTTCATTTAATTGCCCCAAATTGGGGTTTTCTGGGTTCCTTTATTCTTTATTGAAGTCTTTTTGACCAACTAGTAATAAAGGAAACTCATGGTACCATCCTGAGGCTGATGTAGAGAAGGCCTTTTACAGAAAACTTGCTGTCGTCCTCCCTGGGAGAATGGTTTCTCACGCACCTCATTTCCGTGGGTTTGGCTTTGGACTGTTGTTGTGGTGGTCTCTCCTCTCCTCTGCTTAAGTTACCATTCGCTCTTTCTTTCGCTGTCTCTATCCTTTCTTTAGTCTAAGTAAGTAATCTTCAGGGTTGGGCTCCGGGGGCTACGCTGCTGTTTTCATTCAGAGTAGACTATCAGAAAGCTCTGGAGTGCATTAGAAGTACTGGAGAAAAATGAACAAGATTTTTTAGTAAGAGGAGAAAAGTGGTGGGAACAGCCTGAGCCTCCCGGTCCATGTGTAGAACAGAGCATCATGAGTTGGCGTTTAACTCTTGAGAACCAGCTCCCTGCTGGTCTTTCCTGTCCTCGCTCAGTCCCTGCTTTTGCCTTTCTTCTTTTCCAGTCCAGTCTTCTCATGCTTCTCTGGTGGGCTGTCATGTAAAATGGAGCTGGGTGGCCAAGAAGTCTGTAGCAGGTGTCCTTGAAAATGAGAACTGAATAATAGAGGAGGAACCACACTACACAGGGGAGGAATTTTCCAGGCATATAAGGAAGGGCAGATACAAACCCTTAGGCTGGGATAAGTTTGGCAAAGTTGGAGGCCAGGAGAGAAAGCCATGTACCTGAGTAGGAAAGTGAGAGAAAGCAGAAACCATAGAGGTCAGAAAGGAACACTGAATGGGAATTGAGTTATTATTTTAATTACAATAAGAAATCATCTAGAATATCAGAACTAGACACTGTGTGAACATGCCACCCCGTGTGTGTGTGTGTGTGTGTGTGTGTGTGTGTGTGTGTGTGTAGATACAATCAGATTTGTAGAGCAGAAGGATTCACACATGGAGCGAGATAGCTACAGGGAAGTAAGTGCTTCCCACAGGGAGCTGAGAACATGGTCTTTTGTAGTAGTTCTTAAAGGATGGTAGTTAGGCCAGAGTATAAGCAGTAGGTACCCAAATCAGGGACTGGAATGACAGAAACAGTACTGACACCGTTTGTTCATATGGGTATGGAGGAAAATCAGGGATAGCACCTAGGACATGAATGACTACGAGAGCCATTAGCTATGAAGGAGAGGGCCAGGGCAAGGCAGGACTGAGAAGGAAAAGAAAGAATTCTGTTTGGGTAATGTTCAGTATTCAGGTAGATTATTCGGGCAGGGGGGGGAGTTGTCTAGAGCACCACAGGGAGATCAGGGTTGAAGACAAACTTAAAGGCTGGCATATGGATGGAGTTAATTAAGGAGAAGGTAAAGGGTGACCTTGCTCTCAGTTCCTTGGCAACACCACACTTCTCTTCTGCTTATACTGCTCTATCTGACTTGTTCTGCCTCCACATCTTTGCCTAGGGAACACCTGCTCATCCAGTCTTCAGTTCTCAGCTCATTAACCTCTACTGGGAACCCTTCCCTGACCTCCTGGACCATGTTTCCGGACTGCTTCCCCAGCACTGCCTCCAAGCTCTTATCTTTCCTTCTGCTAGTTCATAGTGAAAAACATAGGTAACATGCTTCAGAAACAGGTTCTGATGAATCATAACAGCTCTTGGCTCGTGACACTGCACTTGTAGAATACATCCTGCAGAGGGTTTGTCTGAAACAAATGTTTCTGTTAATGACAAATTGATGTTTGTCTTTGCACAGGTATCTGGAATTATTTCCAAAGGGTTCTGGTGAAGAAGTATGCTTCAGAAAGAAATGGAGTTAATGTGATCAGTGGACCAGTTTTTGACTATAATTATGATGGCTTACGTGACACAGAGGATGAAATCAAACAGTGAGCTTCTCATTTCCAATCCTGTGTGATGCCAAAATTCTAAGGCATCACTCGAGGACGTTTTTTTCAAATATTTGTGTGCTAGAAAAGACTTCATACCCTTGCATTTTTTCCATTGAATCTCATTTTTAAAAATCTTTAGTTGTTTTGGATCTTGGATTTAATGTGGTATTGGTAGCTGGAAGTGAATTTTGAATTTTGTGGCAAATAGATACAATTTTTCCTTCCATGGTAGAGAAATATATCAAAAATATTTTTGAAACTATTATTTATTCTTCAGCAACTCTTCAATGGAAAGTTGTGATTTCTATTTATCTCCATTATT